TTTGGGAAGTTAATTCTGATTTACAGTTTTGAAAATCAAGTCTAGAGCCAAGCTCAGAGTTCAAGAGCTGCTGTTAGAAGAGTGTGAAAAAAACCCCAGACTGCTCCCATTAAATCCAAGTAGCTGCCAGTGACTCCACCATTTGGATCAAGCACAGGTTTGGCAAGAGCACTGAAATGGGAACAGGCACGTGAAGCAATATTTCCCATCATTAAACAGAAATTAATGGGACTTTTTATTTCAGCTCTGGGGAACACACCCTAATTCAAAGGGATGATTAAAAATAATAGTTCATTCATGCAGCTCTGCCCCAGCCCCTGCTCCTATTTGGACACCCAGTCTCCACCAGCAGCACCCTGGCACTGATCACTTTGTAGGAAATATGAAATGCTGAATTTTATTATTCAGCATATGTTTAAAAAAAAAAGAATAATCACATGCAGGGAGGAATCAGGGAGAATATTATTATGGAAATAGCATTTTAGACAGAGTTTGTAAAACATTTGTCATATTGCAGACACAAAGTTATAAATATTAATTTAACATTCCTTGGGAAAGGAGCAGGACAACTCCAGCATAGACACTGGAAATTTTCTGTGCCATGCAAGGAGGAATTATTTGACTGTGCTGCTTTATGAACAGCTGTGACAGGAGGTGTTCCCAAGGGACAGGAACATTCCTACTGGCACAAGCAGGGAGTCCTGGAACACAGGGAGGGAAGCAGTGGATAAGTTTTCCAAAACAAAAAGTTTTCAATAAAAAATTCACTTCTGTCCAAATGAGAATTTTTGGGGAAGGTACTGGATTTCTTACTGAGGCTCTGCTTTTTTTGCTTGGAATTAATTCATAAAGATTTCCACCTCCTTTCTCTGCCCTGTTCCATAGACATTTTGATAGTTTAAAAAAAATCTTTTAGACAATCTTGTTTTTCTTAATGCTTACAACCACTTCAGCACAGATGAAAATATAGCAGGGAAAACTTTAAATTTTTGTATATGGATTGACTAATAAAGTGTTTAATTATGCATTATACTACATACAAAAATAAATCAAAATTTACTGGAAATACTGGAAGCTGTGCTGTGTATGGTGTGTGTTGCAGCACACAAGGAAGATTTCTGCTGAGGAAGCAAAGCATTCATTTGTAACAGATTTAAACTTACTCTATAAACTCAATTTATTTTATTTTTCTTTTATATAACCATAGGTTACACTCATTTTTCTTTCCTTTATGTTCAAACTTCCATTTGCTTTTAAGATGAAAGAATGGCCTGTTGCTGTAGTTGCAGCCCATTTTTTGTTTCTATAACTATATCTAATTTTTATGCCATATTCCCCAACCGAGTTCTGCACTCCAGATGCTCCTCATTCCTGCAGCATCCTCCTGTTCTTCTTCCATTGCAAGGCAGCTCCTTGCAGGTCCCCCTGCAGCAATTCCTCTCACATAAACCCATAAAATCTGACTGTTCTTGGTACTGCTGTCCCTTCCCAAGGGGAGGTGGCACAGCCCAGCACCTGCTTAAAAATGCTATTTAAGCAAACTCAGATTGCTCCTGTGGCACAGAGTTGATAAATATAAATGTGTATAACCCCTCCACCCTGATATTTGACATGGAAATGAGGGCAGTGGTCATGGTGTTTGTGTTGTATGTATATATATTAAACAAAGGACATTGTAAAGCTTAAAACAATCTGACAGGGTAATTTATAAAGATGTAAAGACATTTGTTTGCTTTGGATAAAAAGTTTCCTTTGGCAAACTTTCTCCCCAGAGCAAGAAGGATTTTGGAAAGCCCAAGACTCACTAGAGGGTCACAGCCCAAGGCAGGCAAGGAGATGCCAAGGGAAGTGTTGGGTCTTGAGAAGCCAAACAGGAAAATCTCCTTGTTGTCCTCAGCTGTCAATGTCAGAGTACAAGAGAAGACAGAGATGTTATTCTTGAAGATGCAGAGAAAGGACAAAAGGCCACAGACATGAGCCCCACCCAGAAAATTTCAACTGTGTTTCAGAAAAAAATCCTGCAATCCCAGCAGTCAAACGTTACACCAGGGCCAGAGAGGCAAAGCATCTCCAGCCTTGAACAAGGCCCTAAGGCAAGTTGGACTAAGCAACCTCCCAAACTATTTTTTGTGATTAAATACAAAACCTTGTTGAAAAGACCCACTGGAAGTAAGGTAATTTTAATTACAGCCATCAATTTGTATACACAATAATGTGTATTTTACATATATCAAGGAAAAAAAACTATACTGCATTTCAAAATTTGTTTACTGCAATAACAGAGGCAAATAGTCAGGAACAAGGTTAAGCCACTAATATTAAGGAAAGCCACAATGTGTGTGTAAATTGAAGCTACAGAAGCTCAGTAGTCAGAGACATTAATTCCAAGGGTTTCACAACACCTAACTCACCTCAACCTCATTACATGAAAATGGAGTCTGGATTGCAGGGCTGGATCTAGATTATTATCTAGCACCCAAAAGCTTCAAGTTCCTACTTACAGTAACAGTTCTGAGATGTTAAACTGCAAGGTCAAGGTAAGTGTTTTAGCTCTCATAACTGCAGCCTAGTTTCACTAAAATTGCCTTAATTAACTTAGAATAGTCTGTGATTCTATAATTACCAGATCAAAATGTCATTTTAAATCGTTCCTCATTTCAGGATATGTGAACACTGAACTAGCTGTAACAAACTTCTAATATTTTCAAAGTCAAAAGTTCATTTTTACTTAAAAAAAAGCCACAATAAAACTCTTAACAGAGGCTTAAAAAGGTCTTTATAAAATAATCTCCATCACACTTACAATAGTAAGAAAATTATTCTGGTTGCTAGTTTTAGTAAATATGAACTGGTTTGTGTAATTTGTATTAAAGATGGTTATAACTTCAGTTCACATTTCATTTCTTAAAGGGACATGAACAAATGTGTCAAGACCAGTAGATTATTGCTGTTTCTCATCAAGTCCTTTTCACTGAGGACATGCTGCCTTGGTCTGGCAGCCAGCTGGGACAGGAGAGCTGAAGGACAGAAGTTATCATTTGCATGCCAAAAAAACCTTCTTCAATCACCTTATACTTGGCAATGGTACAACTGAGCTGATTTAAGATCAAAACTGTGTCATTCCATCCATCTCCTGAATGCCAGTCCTGATCATCTCAGAACTTAAGTTTGCTTGAAGTGACACAAGAAGGTAGAATCCAAGTAAGTTCTGGAATGGCAGGGAAAAAAACCTCTGATGTTTGTCCTCTCATATGCAACTCTGAAAATACCAGATGTTCTTCAGAGGGGCTTTCACCAGGTCTGCTGGGCAATGGGTATGGCTGTGCAGAGAGAACAGAACATGGATGTATTGGAAATAGGAAATCCATCAGGTTTTCTATTCCTGCAGTAGCACTGATCAAATTAAATATGCCCCCATTCAATTTCAAGAAGGTTCAAAAAGATCTAGAAATCCATACATGTTTTTAATCTAACTTTTCATACAGCAAGCCTCTGAAATGTACTTTCTGTGGACACAAATTGGCAATTACAACTGCAAACAGAAAAAGCTCACAACAACTGCTAAAAGGGTGTCATTAATTATACATTTTAACCAGCTGTTAGATTCTTTAGCTTTTGGTAATAAATTATCCTAGTGAGGATGGTGACAGTTTATATGTCCAAGGTTTAATCTGCTGGTGCACTTCTTTCCATTGTTTTTATGAAACCTTGCACTACTGTTTCACAGAGAGCAGCTTCTAGAAGAGCTAAATCAAGTTAAATAAAATGGATGTTGCTGTCAGAGGCACCACTGGTAATAATTACCTTCACACTGCCACCTTTCACATTTGAAGGTCTTAAAAGAACAGAAAAAAAGAGAAAAACCCACATGACTGCTAACACTGAGGGAGAATCTTCCACTTCAGTAATTCCTTGTGATGTGATAATATTTAACTCAGCACATGTGAAGACATTTCTTGTCATGTGGAAAAGATTCCTGGTCTTGTGGTGTGCAGCCTTCCCAAGACACCACTTCAGTGCCATCTGCCCTCCCATTTAAGCCTCTGGTATCTGAATCCCAGCCTCAAACACTGTCCAGTCAAACCAGTGCTGGGGGAACATTCTGAGCAATTCCTGATGGAATTACAGATTTCCCTGAGTGTGCTTTGCTGTGTGGAGGTCTCAATGAAAAAAACCACAATTATGCCAGTGTGTGCTGCAGCTGAGCAGCAAACTCCTCTGAGCTCTGCACTGATAAATCCTCACAGCCCATTCCCCTGCAATGAGGCTGAAAGGCATTCCCTCTGCAATCAGATTCCAATGATTTCAACCAGAGCCATCATAAAGAAATAGCAGAGAAAAAATTCTGCAACTGTGACTGGAGCCTGTGCATAAGCCATTGTGATGGCTGATCCAGCACTGTCAGGGCTGTGCAGCCAGCTGCTGCCTTTTTCCTTTTACCTCTCCATGCTTTAAAGAAATGCATTTGATCAGCCTTGACATTTTATTTAAAAAAAAAAAGCTGCTATCAACTGACCATCAGAAGCATTCTGTTACAAAAGAGTACTAAAACTGTATGATAGCAATGAAAGATACCTAAAATATTCCTCTGAAATGTCAAGCATTTCTCTTCATGCTGGGTATTTATGTACCTTGACATTATCAGCTCTTCTGAAAATGGAGAAATACATCAGAAACTATCTTGTATGATTGCAAAAAGGCAAGGTGCATATTATTTCTTCCCTGCCTCTCAAAAGAAAGTATTTTCTTTTCTGTAACAACCAGTGATGCAAACTGGTACAATACAGATCCTTAGTTTGGAAACCTACATCTTAAAATAAAAATACCTGCAAGAATATTTCAGATCTAAGATACTCAACTGTAACATGCATTTAATTTCTTTTCAAAGTAAATTTCCATGCTGTGTAATTTCACTTGTTCTACTGAAATTCTTAATCTACACAAAGATAATAAAATACTGACCTATATCAGGGTCTCATTAATTTATCAATAGCAATGTTTAACAACTTCTTAGGACACAAACAGCTTTTTGCTGACCAATGTGCACCACTGGTGAAACAATCCAGTATTTACATTCACCAGTGAAACACTTTTGGTGTTCTTTAATCTACTGCACTGTAAATAAAGTTTCATCTTATCCAATTTCACCAAATTTTCCTATTCTTGAACATTCACTGAACAAAAGAACAGGGAGAAGCAAAAGAAAGAGATCACACTTTGGTTGCATTTGTAGTAGCAATTATTATCCAGTACCAAAAGCACTAACATCAAATATCTTCTCGAAATGAAAGGAAGAAGAAAAATACTTCCTCTGCATTCAAGTTTAGAAATTGTTTTTGCAATCAAAATGACATTTAATGGCTGTCTGCTTCATAATTTAAACTTCAGAGGAGAAAGGGAAAGTAAAGACATCTAAGCTGTGGCTGAATTTGATATGAGCACAGAAGTTACATTAGAGCACACTTACAAATTCATGTTTTTATACATCAATGCTGTGGCTGCTCAGGATTGATATCCATGGTCCTGTATATCTCTTTGAGAAACAGCAAGGCAGTGTCTTCAGATCCCCTTCAAGGAAAGAAATAAATAAAACAAAAGGGAAAAAGGGAAGGGAAAAAAAGAGGAAAAGGTTAGTTTAGTACAGTCCATCTTCTAATGTGACTTCTCCCAAGTCACATTCCAGCCTATTTCAGCTCTCCAAAGAGTTTGCACAACCTCTTGGCCCAGTATTTATTTTTCATGAACATGGCCTTACCCCTACCAGCTTCCTTCAAGCTGTAATTCTACACAAGTTTTGAACAAGTTTTAGTTCTACTGTCAACCCCAGCCTATGCATTTACCTTTTTCCTAGTGCATTTCCTCCTCCTGTCCTCACTAACTTCCTATGTTGCAAACTCCAAATCCCCTCCTCCATCCTCTTCTTTGGTGTTACTTCCTCATCTTAATCTCCTCAAATAATGTTTCACTTTTTGTCCTGAATATATTCCACACTTCATTCTCATTTTGTTCTACTCCATTAATTAGCTCAGCTCTAGCAGCAATATTCTAATTTCTTCTCTAACTGGCAGGCCCTTAATTGTAAACAGACTATGTTAAATACCCATAGTCTTCCTCTCTTGCTCACCACTAAAATGTTAGATAGATCTCCAATAATTTAAAGATTAATATCATTCAAGTGCCATGTTTCCAAGTGGCTGTTTTCCCTCATCTTTTCAAAAATAAAGCTTCAGGCTGTCTGAATCTAAAGTTAACATGAATAGACTTAATTTTCTTCTTCATCTATAAAATGCTATTTAGACTTATATAAATAATGCAAACATAAAAAAAAAAACAATGTTAAACAGACAATTTTTAACAAAGTTCCAGAGCTGCAGGAGTTGTTAGATGAGGGCAGCTTCCTGTGCTTTTTAAAACAAATCATATAGGAAGCAGTGAAGGAGATTTAGATGGTCAGAACTGTGATCCTCCAAACGTGAGGAACAATCTGCAGAACCCCAGAACAGAATTCAACACACAAGCTAAGGGAATACATGTATATCCCACAATTCAGCACAGACATTCCTTGATGCTCTCTGCATTAAATGAGCAGCAAACAACCAAGCAGAAGGTTCAACACAGAAGCTCCAATCTCTCCAACACTCAGAGCATTTCATTTAAAGCTCTTCCCACCATTCCTCAGGAAGAAACGCTCTCCTATTCGGGTCATTAATCACTGTGCTTATCTTACCCACTCGAATGACAAAAACAGGCACAGGTACCGAGCATTTAAAATGCTGGCAGTGATCGGCTGCCACCCCGTGGAAGGAATTGCGGTCCCTTCAGCCCTGCCCGTGGAACGGCACTGCCACCACCGGGTCACCCAGACAGAGCCCAGTGCTCACAGCAGCCCGGGAACCCCTCCTCTGGCAGGGGCTGAGTTTCAGCATCCAAGAGATGATGGCTCTAATGAGACCCTTCAGGTAATGCCTTCAGAGCTGTGTTTTAACCTCTGGAAAAAATGCCTGCTGCTAAAATGACCTACTGAAAATTAAACGTTCAGAAAGAATGTAGAGCACTCACACCTGCTGAACTCAGAATGAGAGACCAGTCACTCCTCCCTCACCAACATCACTTTGCACAGCTCACAGCTGACACCCAAGGTTGGCTATTACATACCAAGGTGTGTTGTTAAATATAGTTCACACATCCTTTGCCAGAAGAAGCAATAAAGTTTTACCACTTGTTGTAGACTAATAAAAATCCTTTGTGAACAGTTTTGTTTGAAAAGCTACAGCTGTGAAAATGCTTCCAGAGTTCTCCTTGTTTTGAAAATGATAGTAGCTAAAAATGTGTGTTTGGAGTGTCAGAGGTCAAGAGAAGACCGTGCAATGTCTTTACTGCAAACAGATTTCTAACACAGAATTTCACTTTGAAATAGGATTAACAAACAGTGACATCCAAGCACTGAGCCTGACACTCCTGGACAATCACACATACTGTGTCCCTTCAGCAGAATTTCTGATCACAGATATGTCCCCTTACCAGTAGCACAGGTGGCTCTGCAAAGCAAACAGGTACTCATTGAAGCTCTCTATTGGCTTCTCCTGCAGAACATAATCAATGCGACGCCCTCCGTTCAGCATCCCAACCTTCACTGAAACATCTTCATCTTTTGGAGGCTCTGCACTCTCAGTGATCTTCTCAGCTAAAATCAAAGAGTTTCACATTTAAACTATTTTCAAGCACAGCCTGCTTGACTATAATTAAGAAATATATACCCATTTTTTCTGCTGTAATTTCCAAGTGTTTGTGATAAGACAATAACAACCTGAACTGCCCAGCATGGTTCAGAAAGGTTACTGAACTATAGGCTTATTTCTTTCCTAACAGTTTAAACAGTTTTCTAAAGAAGTAACTGCTGAGTGATCTCTCCCTGAACTCACTCCAACCCACAAAGCTTTCATTGTAATTTCTCTCCCAAACCCAGCTGAGGAGAACAGTGACAGAGCAGCTTTAGTGGGAACCTGGCATTTAGCAGAGATCTCCATAACAGGGTCAGGAAAATCAATAGCAAACAGTCACTGGGATACTCAAGTGTCAACTGATTTGAGACAAGGAAGTTACAGAAAAACCAATAATGTGTCCATGTACCTTCCACCACTTGCTTTTCTTCCTCCTCTTGAATCTGGTTAGCTACTTTCTCCAGCTCTGCCTGCAGCTGGGTTGAAGATGTATGAGCACGTGCAAACTCATTTAGGGTCTGCCATGCACTCTTCAGAGAGCTGATAAAGCCCTGCTTCAGGTCAGATCCCATACGAGACAGAGAGTCTTTCAGCTCTGAGAAAGAAAAAAAACACACCAAAAATTTCATTCAGAAGGATTTAAAATTACTAACTGAAATTACTAACGAAAATTTAATTCAGGAGGATTTAAAATTACCAACTAAAAGCAGAATGATAAAGTTCTGTTCAATAAACATCCCAATTACCAGCAGAAACAGGCCTGCTATTTCATAAAAGCCTGTTTCTTGCTTCTCCATTCCATTTTAAAAGATTAGGTGAAATACAATTAATACACATAAAAATTAATGCATGTTTCTTGCTTCTCCGTTCCATTTTAAAAGATTAGGTGAAATACAATTAATACACATAAAAATTAATGCATGTTTCTTGCTTCTCCATTCCATTTTAAAAGATGAGGTGAAATGCAATTAATACACATAAAAATTAATGCATGTTTCTTACTTCTCCATTCCATTTTAAAAGATTAGGTGAAATGCAATTAATACACAATTGACTTCTTACTGAATGGGTCAATGAATCCACCTGGATCAAAGTCAAAACAATAAGGAGCAAGAGACTATGTTTTTCTCCTTTATTATACACACTTTTGGAGAGTTGTAACCTGAAACATCTTGTGTAGTCCAGCAAAGCAGACACACTCTAATGGACAACTCCAAAGGACAGAATTTCTCCAAGTGCCTGAACAGAGACTTTCAGGAGGGCTCTGGGAACTTGCACAACAGCAAAACTGACTTTCCTTATGAGTTGTGCAAAATTTAAGTAGAGCACCTTGGTCTGATGTGCAGCCAGGAGCAACAAAGTCAGTCCCTGCCCTCCAAAGGCCACAGAAGCTCCTTTTCCCTCAGGGTTCCCAGCACTGAACAGATTCTAGTTAAACACATCATGGTGGTCATTAGGGACACCAATAAATTTAATTTCTGTTTCACAGCTTCTTAGAAATGAAGGTGATCAAGCAATGTGCAGCAATGTTTTAATGGAACTTTGGTAATGAGAAGGTTAAATGTGGAGGAAATGTGATTATTACTTTTGAATGGAATTGTGAATGCCCAGCTTATGGGGCTGGGTGGAATCACCTCTGATATTCAGGAAAAATACAGAGTCAGATATCCAGGGATATTCATTAGTCTCTTAAAATCTTACAATATTCTAATGCATCAAGTGGGAAATAATGAATAGGATCCATATGAAGTAAGTTTTCTTTTTACCCAGATGAAGTCTTTTTCTGCCTTTATGATGTGGAATGAGAACTGGTTTTAAATCCAGGTCTTCAATGATCATTGGTTCTAACCTGTAAGCTACTGGATCAAGCTGTTAAGAGACAACATATTGACATTTAGTTATCTTTAAAATAATTCTAATTATCACATGTCAGTGAAAAAAAAATTTCTATTTATGGATTATAGACAACCATTTTTCATTTCTGCACTATTTGAATTTACAGAAATTCAGTTCATGACATTAAGCAGGTTCATGAACTACTTTGGTCTTGTTCTCCCTACAGAAGGAGATTCTAATGAGGAAACACAACAGCAAGATTTCTTTGCACTCATTCTCTATCAATGTTAAACTGTTAAACAAAATGAGACAGAGAACAAACACTGCATGTAAAAATACAAACATTCCATAAAAATCTACAAGAGTGGCCTCAAATTAATGAAAAAACCTAAACAACTCCCCCCCCCCCCCAAAAAAATTCCTTAATTCTGAAAAGAAACAAGGCAAATATTATGAAAACAACCCATGCCTGGAAGTGCTTTAGGAAATGTACACAGGGGAACAAGAGGTGTAATGCTCAGAAGGTAGAACTTCGTATTCTGCCTTTTTTGTCATCTACATCAACTGAAATCAAATGTCAAAAGCAGTGCTACTCACTGGGTGATAGATATTGAAGAAGCCCTTGCAGGTGGGGAGTCTGTAGTTTTCATCAATCTTCTCCACACCCCTCACAGTAAGGAACACACCAATAGGGGAGCCAAGAGCAAAGAAAATATCTGGTTCAAAGTCCAGTGCACTGTAAACCACAGAAACCTACCAGGCAGAAATCAGACACATCATCTCAGAACTGTCAGCTTCAAAGGAACCAGCAAAAGGTCATCAACATTAAAAAATTATAGTGAAAAGAGAGGATTGATCAAATCCTTTAAACTGTTCTAATCATTTAGATCCACACAGTCTCACCTGGCCAGTTCCAATTTCAAAATACTCATAGTCAATGTTCACAGAAGACACAGATGCACCAACTGGGAGCTTCCTCTTTGAGTGCCCAGACTCTGAAGATGGGACAGGAGAAATTGCCTCTTTTGATTTCTGGGTGTCTTCTTGAGTCTGGAGTGTGGCAGCCAGCACTGCTTTCTTTTCTGCTACTGCTTTCTTCTGTTCCTTTTGAGAAAAGTTTTAAAGTTAGGGAGAAAAAAGGTTAATTTCACACTGTCAATATAATCAGGATGGTAACAAGAGTGTTCAAGAATAGAAGCTTGTCCACAGCAAGGAAATCAGCTACATTTGCTTAACAACTCTTAATTTCCATGCTGAAATATGTATTTACCTGCTTGGCTGCTCTGTCTTTTACAAAATTAGCTATTTTCTTTCTTGGTCCAAGAGGTATCCCCATCTCCTTCAGGTCATCAATTGTACACATGAGCTAAAGAAACAAACATCAAACACAGACATAAAAATTTATTTTTCTAGTAGAAAAAGTACTTATAACTTTTCTAGTAAAATGAATAATTTCATACTGACAATGACTGTGTTAAGTCAATTTATAAAGCTACAGAAAATACAAAAAATCACAAAGACATGACACAAAGTGCCTAACATAACTGGGTGGATGCATCACATCAAGAAAAAACAAGAGCTGCAGAACACTGAGTGTTCAAGTCATGCATTGATTATCTCATCTTTGCAACTGCTCTCATGGGCACTGAGAGGAAAAACAAAACAAGAAGAAATCCCAAACATGAACCTCCCTTCCCTGGGCAGCCCCAGAAGCCCAGTGAGGATTGCAGTACCAGGGACTCCATGTCGATGCGCTCCTTCTCGAAGGTGCTCACGTACTCTGACAGACTGAGCATCTCCAGGGTCTTCTGCAGAGTGGGAACATCTTCCTCTGCTTCAGCCTCACAAAGGTCATCAGCAGAAGTAGCAATGGAGGAGCCCAAGGAACTGGTATCTTCAGTCATCTCAACAAAACAGCACACAAACAGAATCACACCCTCTAATAGTGGAAAACCAGTTTAGCAAAACCAAGTTTAACTATTTTCTCTTAAAAACATTATCAAGCAAGCTCTGTAAATATATATCCATTTTTAGTGAAGCGGGACACAGATTTTCCACTAAAACAGAACTGCAAAATAAATATTTAAAAATTACTGTGAGAGACAAAACACTCAAAAATGCTTCCTTTTATTCCTCAAACAACTGGTCACCATTTCTAGTCTAAACATAAATTCTCTCTCTTTTATACATCTGCCCCATCAATTACTGTTAGACCAAGTTACATGTTCACAAGGGTCAAAGCTGATGCTCACCACCAAATCTCATTATTGGCCTACTTGAAACTTAAGAGAGAGGTAATTAATTTGTCCTGAGAAATGACAATATTTACAAAACAGTATCTTTCCATTAACATGTTTAAATGTACTATCAAAACCCACAGACTTGGTTCAGCTAATAAATTCTGAAAAGTTAGGAAAAAAATTATTGAAAATATCAATTTATAGGCCTTGAAAGACCAACATGCAAATTACCTGTTTATCATGAACAGCCACGTCCTTCACACTCTCATTAACACCAGAGAATGGTCCAGAATTTACTGATGCAGCCAAGTCCTTCTGGTTAGACAATATGTCAAATAGAATTAAGGAACCTGCAAACAGGAATTAGAGCTGATTTGGGGGAAATATCAGGTTTTCCTGTCCCTAAATCTTGAGCAAGATTTATATGCAACAGTAATGTCACAGTACAGTTTGATCAAGAGATGGCTGAATGAAAACACTCATATGTTAACCAGAACATAAAAAGCTAAAAGCAGCCCCTTTTCTCTCCTGCTCATGCTTTATGTAGTTGCCATGACTAAACTACTTTTCCTTAAACATCTGAGACTGCTTGGTGAACTGGAGGAGAAGTTCCAGTCCAAACCAGTATGTCCATATTCTGCTCTAACACTTATTCTATATTCCAAAAAATGATTGTACTTTTACTAAGCGGGGGTTCTGAGACACAGACATCACACATCTAACAAGTCACCAGATAATCTGTTAACTTTTAAACACAGATGAGACGCTAAGTTTTCATGAAGGGAAGTACTGACTTTCTCTCAAAGCCTGATAAACTCAGCTCTTGAGAGGAGCTTGTTGGCTGTTTTCTTCAGAGAAACAGTCCTAAAATCATCAACTGTGAAGAAAAACAAATTAGCTGCCCTAACAGCTAGTTTGACTTTTATGCATAACAAAGGGGGCATTTTCCTTTCAAGAGGAACTGATTTGTGACAAAAGCAGCATTCCTCAGACAATCACCTAAGCTGTGCCCAGCCACAGACACTCCCCCTTTGAAGTCGGGGTTGCGGCTCATGAAGAGCGCGTACAGGCGGTTCATTTCCATGCCCACTTTATCCACGATGGTCTGGCAGTAGGTGGGGCTGTTGTAGAACAGGATGTCGAGCAGCGTTTCGTTGGTGAAGTGCCTCAGGCGACCAATGCTCGGCAAAGTGATTTTCTTTATGTTCCTGGTAACACAGAATCGTTAAAAGCATGAAAGGCTTTTAAGAAACGCTCGTGAGAAATTTGTTAGCTTTTGAAATTAATGCAATGTAAATGCTACAGAAAGAGTCTCTGAAGAGATTTTAAAAACCCATACAGCCTTCTGGCCTCGTTGCATATTCACACATTAATGCTACCTGCTGATTGTAATATTTCAGAAAGATACAGCTCTTTTTTTCTCTCCAGCCTGAAGTAACCTCTTCTCTCTATTCCAACTCTACTCTCATAAAGTACCAGGGAAGTTTGCTAAGTAGATTGAAGTGGAAGAGAAAAAGGAACTTGCATATAAAATTAGACTCACAGAATGGTAATACTCTCTTTTTGAAGAAGCTTGGCATCACCATCTGCCTGCCTGGAGTCAAGACAGCTGCACTGGAATTGCTCTAGACTTGAGACTGCCTGGTTTGATTAACAGAATAAGGACCCCTCCTCATGCAGTGTTCAAATGCAAATAAAACAGCAAGGCTGGAGGAAAGCAGTGTGATTTCACTGAGCTACAACAGTCTGGAGAACATCAGCATCACTTGAAGTGCCACAGGTTGCCACCCTCACAATTTTTACTTCCCCAGCTTTGAGCAAGGGAAACAGCTTGAAATGTGAAGTTCAAAGGAAAGGGGTAGGCACGGAGAAGGGATTTTAAAACAGATTTTTAAATGCTGTAACATTCTTACCCAAATATAGATACTTTGGTTCAAAAAAAAAGAACTCCTTAGCTCAAGTGCCTAATCATAATTCAGGCACTTCTCTGGGACTGCTCAGAGGGCTCAATGCCTTCCTCAGAAAGGGTGAAACTCAATCAGACTGCAGGAAAGTAAAGAATAGAAAACTCTCTACTCTAAATTGTGCACACCTCACGGACAAAACATCTCCAGGCTCACCACCTCATCCTTGTGATCACAACTCTACACACTCACTCACCAAGTATCATGCATTGGCCACTCTCATGCAAATCCAGTGCTGAAAAGTTGTGTGCATGAAAATAAACAAGAGAGATATTCCTCAAGCCCTTCCAGCTTTCCAAATACTCCTCATCAAAATGTTAATTTTAAAAAATCTGCAATTCTCTAATTCAGTCATATGCATATGAACTGCTCTTTTTCCCCACTTTCCATAACCCATTAAACAGCAGCTTTTAAGATGTTTTCAACATTAAACAGCATCCTCACCTGTCTACACCTGTTGCATCCCCATGCAGAGAACTGTGCCAGTGAACTGGAAGGAATTCCACCCTGCTCACTTGGCCTTCCTCCAAATACTTCTTAAAGTGAGTCTGCAACAACTTCAGAGAAACATTCCTAAAATCATCAACTGTGAAGAAAAACAATAATGAAAATCTGATAGCTGCAGAACTCAAGTAACACACAAATAGTCACTCCTTCCCCTTAATTTTACAGATAGTCAGAATACAAATGATGGAAATTGAAAGCTGAAAAAATCTTTTCAAGTATTACCATTCTAACAATAAGAAAGTACTCATTTTTGTTAGAGTGGATTTTTTAGCAAGCTTCCATTTATCTCACAATGATTGCCTGTTCACTCTGTAACCAGAGAGGGCTTTGTTAATTTACTCAGTTGTACCAGAGTGTATTAAAAAAAAAAGGTAAAAAAACCAAGCCACACAAAGCAAACACATCCACTCACACCACAAAAAGAAAAAAAACAATCAACCAATAAACCCCCCTCACCACACATCCCAAAACCCAAACCACCCTGCAAGTGTGGTATTGAGAACTACTAATTACAGCTAAAGCTTCAATTTGACAGAACACAGATTCTGCCTTTGGAAAGTAATCATGAAAAAATTGAATTTCTTAACATTTGAGACTTTTCTTTCAAAAAACCTTATAAAGATGTGATTATATGAGCTAGAGAGAGCCACATTTAAACAGCAAGAATACACCTGCTCATTATACAAGCCCAAACTTACCACACTCAACAATGCTTCTAAACCTCAAGTCACATACAGGACCTATGCCATGGACCATAAATACCAGATGGTCAATTTGGGACATTTCTCCTGTAGAAAAAAAAAAAAGGAAAACATTCAGAGTACCAATACGTACAGCAGGAGTGAAGCTCAGAGTCTATCTAAAGTATAATACACACTTGTTTCATAAAGCCTATTACATAACATGGTTCAGGACATAACAGAGCCCACAGGATTAAAACACCCCAAAACTAGATAACCTCAGCAAACAGCTCAGATGAAGGAATAACTTTAATCTTTAGACCCCAGGCACAAAGAGCACAGAGCCACTCCACCCACCATTGTCCAGCTTCTGCACAGATCCAAACTGCTCCCAGTGCAGACCCAAGTGCACCAGGAGTCTCATCACCTACCATCAGGAATCTCATCATGGTCATCATCAATTCCACGTTTCACCACCCTTGGCCTCGCCTGTCCATCTTGAGAGGTGCCCCATTCATCTGATGAGGTAGAAGGCTGGAACTGAACTATGACCTGCAACAAATACAGTGTCCAATTCCAACCACAGAAAAGCCTCATGACTCATACTGGTAGCATGAAAGCACTGCATAGTTCAACATACTCTTTGATTGCTTTTCCTTTCATCTGAAAATCAAATGTTTTCTTTCACAAAATCCCCATTAGTGTGAAAAGCAAACTGATGACTCAAAGTAACCACTAGGTGAAGAAGCTGGGCCTGCTCATGGTTCAGAATCACCATTTTAACTCCCTAGCCAAGCATTATTCAAGCTCCTCCTTCCTAGTCTCCAGTATCCACTCTTCCTTAGCAGATTACTTGTAATGTGAGGAAATGGAATGCTACCTGGTTTACAATAACTATCACAAGGAGAAGATGGAAAAAAATAAGTGCAGTGCTTTTCAGAGAAGGACAACAGCATCTGAAGTAGTCCAGAGCCCCTAAAAAGTGAGTAATTCAATAGTACAGTTGTTTTTAGGACTTACAGTGTGAACTTGTATTTATGACACCAAGTGATTTAAATGTTCCTTCTCTACATTTTTACTGGACAGAATTCTATAACCAGGATTATTAAACACTTTAAGTAGGAGCAACCATGATTCTGTCCCTTGGATAGTTCTATGTATTAATTACTGCATTCGTGATAAGTGAACAGTTAAGAGTATTGATCAATATGGCCATGTTTTAATAACATGAGACTGTTCACAGAGTATTTAGAATAACTTTTAAAACTTGTCTTGCTATACTTTCTCATGGCCTGAAAATAAGAAAAAACATTCTCAGGCCTTAAAGAAACTATTTACCTTATAGCTAGATTAATGCTCTTCTCCACATGAAAGCTCTTTAATTTCATTGGGTACAGACCAAGGTTAAACGAATTCAAATTGCTAACCATTTGCTGCCAGTTCTGCTTAGCCAAAACCTTTACTATGCAAACCCTTATTCTCTTTAGGTTTCAGAAAGAACTGTCTTTTAACAACATGACAGAACACTGAAGCAAGCACAAGTACAGTGTTCTGTAAACTTGATCATCTTTAATGCACACACACCTAGAACAACCAACTGGTACATTTCATGCAAGATTAAGAGAACATTCAATTTATGCTTCCATCCATTTGCTCATTCCCCCTTAATGAATCCTGCAAGACTCAATTGCCAAAATCTATTACCTTGGGATTATGCATAACAATTGTCTCCCCATTTGGAAATTCAAGTCGCCGATGCCATTGATTTGTATTTACAGCCCTTTTATATTCTGCCTGAAACAGAAAACAAGTTACACAAAGTCAGCATGGCAACCTTCTCAGTATTTTGTGGCCTTAGGTAATGCTACAGTTAAAATTTACAAAACTTTCTTTATATAAGTGTCACATGTAGAACTACACAAGCAGATTTTAGATCACAGCAGTGCAGGACTGATACAGCAATGTGGCCTTTTAGACACTCCTCTTTTCAGGATTTCCTTATGTTCCAGGAAGTGCACTCTGAAAATCATCTTCATGAAATAGACAGAACTGTTTCTAAGGCGATTAACACAATGAACTAATTAAAACAAGGTCTCTGTGACTTACTAACCTCCAGCTTGTCACTGAAGTCCTCAGTGTAAGGGACGAAGCGGCTGTCCTTGTCCCCCTTGTAGAACCACAGGCAGCGCCGCACCTCCGAGGGCTCCTCGTCCCAGTACACGGCTTTCCTCAGCCGCTCGTACAGGCACACGTCATAGCGGCCGCCGTCCGTGCTCAGCACCACGCTCTCGGGGTCGGGCTGGACTGGACAGACAGACACGTGTGGTTACCACACTGACACTGCTGCACTGGACAGACAGACACGTGTGGTTAACACACTGACACTGCTGCACTGGACAGACAGACACACCTGCTCACCACACTGACACTGCTGCACTGGACAGACAGACACACCTGCTCACCACACTGACACTGCTGGACTGGGACACACAGACACACCTGCTCACCACACTGACACTGCTGGACTGGGACACACAGACACACCTGCTCACCACACTGACACTGCTCTGTGCTCAGCACCACACTGTGGGGTCAGGCTGCACTGGGACACACAGCCACATGTGGTTACCACACTGACACATCTCTGTTCTCAGCACCACAGTCTGGGGGTCAGGCTGCACTGGGACAGACAGACACACCTGCTCACCACACTGACACTGCTGGACTGGGACAGACAGACACACCTGCTCACCACACTGACACTGACACTGCTCTGTGCTCAGCACCACGCTCTGGGGTCAGGCTGCACTGCGACAGACAGACACACCTGCTCACCACACTGACACATCTCTGCTCTCTCAGCCCGGCCCCAGCCACTCCTGTGACCAATATCAGGCCATTAGCACTGACAGTCACAGCATGGCAGACACGCTTTGCAATACTGAGATGCTTCTAGAATGCTTCCATATGCTTTGTACACAACAAAACTTGGAAAAACTTCCAAATACCAACACTTATTCCAGAACTCACAGTTTAACAAAAAGGCAACCCAAGACACAAGTAATGAGGAGTTCTATATAAAAATCTGAGATCTATTTGGGTATATTACATATATATATTTTATATGTATATATAAAATACATATATATAATGTATGTATTTTATATATATATTTATATATATATATATATATATATATATATATATATATAAAACCAAATCATCTCAACACTGACAGCATCAAGCAGTGATGATGTCAGTGAAATAAATTAAGTGGCAAAAAAAAAATCTTCAAAACATTACTTATCACTGCCACACACTCAGTGTGTGGCACATTACTGAGTGGCATTACCCCAATATTTTCCTTTAGTCCTTCTGCTCACCTCTGGGTAAGACAGGACTTACCAGAATTATAGACCTCCTCCAGCTTTGCAGAATCCAGACTGCTGAATGGCATCCATATCTGCTTGTCCTCCACCTCCTTACAGTAGAACCAGTGGGGCTGAACTGGCTCGTACTGGTTCTGCAGCAGCACAGGAGGGGCTGGCACCAGGGGCCCTGCAGGCCTGGCAGGCTGGAGCTGGGACTGGGACGGTGGGAACTGAAAAGAGATGGGCTCAGCATCTCAGTCTCACAGGGTTTTTACAGAACTCTTCTATATTTTGCTATAGGGAATACTCTGAACCTTTATTTCCTACATGTTTTCCTCCCCAAGGTCATTACCTTTCATTCTAAAAACATTGTCCACATCATCATGTGTTTGAGAACTTACACCTTCTCAAACTGAGAAAGAATGTGAATTTCATTGCCACAAACTGTTGAAAACTGCCATGGTTTAGCATCATGATTATCTAAAATCAGTGAGATTTCAAATATTCTCTTAAATTTTCAAAACTTGAGCTGAACTTTGTTCTTACAATGACAAAATTTGACATGAAAATGAAAGCATATTTTTCTCATTGTTCATTTACATATAATTATGCTTTCACATAAAGACTCCCAATTTTAAAAAGTGGCCACTTCAGCTACAGTGACCACAACAGGCACATTCCAAACCCAAATGTAGCATCAGTGGTACAAGAAAAGGAACTGATTTTGATAGGGACTACAGCCTATATAAAGATGATTTCATACAAATTTTACAAAAATCCCAGTCAGTACAACTAAAAGCAGCTGATGTCAGCAGTAGCAACTGCCTTGGTTGATGATACATTTAAAGGGAAAAAAAAAGGGGCACCAAAATATTGTACAACATACAAAATCCAATAAACAGAAGTTGTGAAATTATTTAGTCTAAAACTCCAGACTGTCTAGGCTCTACTGCCTTTGTTATGTTTTGTCATTATATAACCTTCACATTCTTTATTCATGATAATAGAAATATAACAATAGCTCAGGCAAAAATAAAAACAGTTTTTGCTATTTTCAAGGCAAACATGCCAGGTTTTATTAACCCATTGGCATTACTTTAATAATGCTTTTTTGCAGGTAGAAAATAATGAAGATTATTGCTTTATATCACACAAAATCCTCAACCAATTTGTTTCAAAGAATGTGTTGACAATTTTATGTGACTTAGTTTTAAAAAAATTCTGGCTTCACCAACAAAACCAGCTTAAAAAGAGATTTTAGCCCATATCTTTGAAGTGGCTGAATGCCCTGATTTAAAGCTGAGGCACAAAACATGCAGCAGCATAGCTGAAACTCAGAAACCCATAGAAAAGAGCAACAGAACTTCACAACCTGATTTTGTTTCTGATGCCCAGAGCTCACAGAGCTACAGCCTCAGGGTACACTCACTTCAAAGATCAGGAAGACTTCCTGGAACACAAGTTCCAAACTACTCCCAGTGAAAAGCTTTTGCTGTTATAAACAGTTCAAGACTTCTTCTGGGGTTTTTTACAGAGAACAAAAATCTCCAAAAGATGAAGCACACAGCTGAAAGAGGAAAGTGACGTGTTGTGCTGTGGCAGGCAGGAGGTGTCACATACCTGTGTCAGTGGCCCCGGGGGTGTCTGGTACATCTGCACGGGTGGCACAGGGGACGCTGTGGCAGGGGGGTGGCTCTGCTGCAGCTGGGGAGGGGTGAGGTAGGGGTTGGCCCTGCTGCTCAGGGTGGTGTGCCTGTAGGGGTTGTAGCCCTGCTGCTGGGGGGTCCCCACGGGCAGGGCAGTGCTGGCAGGAGGGGGACAGCTCTGCTGAGGGGGCTGGTACGGGGACATGCCCACCTGGGAAGTGGGTGGGGCACTGTAAGCCTGGGATTTGGGAATATGTGGTGAAAAGGCATTTTGCCCATCCTGGGAGCCAGACACCAGTGGAAGTGAAGTGGGAGGTCTGGAGAAGGCTGGTGCTCCCACAGGGGTTGAAACAGTTGTCAAGGGTGGCTGCCCAATGCTCCCAAAGGGGTCACTGCTGCTGGGAACTTGAGAGAAGTAGCTGAAGGTCTGTGGTGGGTTGGGGCTGGCTGATGTCTGACCCAAGAAGCTGTCCTCCTCCCCAACGTCTCCAGAATCTTCTGCAAAAACAAAAGGATCACCAGAGATCTTGTGAGAGCTTCAAATCACTGCATAGGGTCACCATGTTCTGTAACACCATCAGCTATGGCCAAAACTGTCAGCCCCCATAAAGCTTACACATCCTTGATTCAGCACACCATAAAATGAAACAAAAGATACCAAGTCCTCAAGAACATTTAAAATGGACCAAGAAAGTCACTCAGTGTACACAGAAAAAGCAACAAATATTAAATAAGAAACCAAAATATAACTGGAGTTGGGACCTTCCCAGGGTAATGTGGCAGACACTAAAATCCCTTCCAACTTCACTTATCCCACAAAAGCAAGAACAACCTTGGTTCATATCCTTTCACCATGAAAACAGCCAGGACTATAAGCATAGGACTTTATGCTCCTATTTTTAGGATAGAGTTTAAAAACATTCCTAAATAGGCCAAACTTACAGGTTAAACCATCCATTCTTGCCTGCTTCTTCAGCAGAGCCCTCAGAAGGTTTCTCATCTAACTTGCAAGGTGGCCATAACTCATAATCCCAAGCCACTTCATGAGCAGGACTTAGTCCAGTTCTCTGTAAAAATCCTACTCTAGACTTGCATAAAAGCCCCATCTCTGATGCAGAAAAATCACTCTGCATAATTGCAGGAGAGGATTTAAAAAGATGCAAGGCCATGAACGCCCTTTCACATGGAGAAAACAAATAAAAGAAGTCCTGATCAACCACAGTTTTGTACTTTGCAGTGACCTAGGAACAAGTGGAACAAAGGAGGTTTGTCATGCTTTGGGGTCTCACAGCAAGCTCACCTCAGGCTGTGATGGCTGAGCAGCTCCTGAGGGAACAGAGCCAGTGCCATCTGCAGAAACCAGCAGATGTTTTCGGTGTTTCACCTGCCTGGCAATCACTGAGCCCAGGCTGTGGGGCAGACACCACAGAGCATCTCTGCTGCTCAGTGCCCAGGCAGAGACCAAGAGTCTGCAGTGTGAGCAGCCAACAACAAATGCCTTCATCCACAGCCAACACAACTGTAACAGGGAACACCAAGGGAGAACGGGGGAATCCACTGAGAAATCCCCCTAGGAAGCTGCTGTTCTAATTAATTAATCACAAAAGAGGCAGCTGCCAAGATTAAAAAGAACTATTTTAACCATCTTTTATTTAGTCTGTGCGGATGGTGTCATCTGCCTTAAATTCCTCTTGCTTTCCCTTCCAGCACTTGATCCCACTTTAAGGAACAAAACCAAAATCTCTGTGTGGAGAATGCTGAAATCCCTTAGACCCAGTGACAACACTAAAGTCAGGCCAGGGGATCATCTCCCAGCTGTAAGCAGTAGCCATTTATACTAAATAAAAGGTCTCAGCTTCTAAACAATAAAATCCACCTTCCTTTCCCATTTCATAAATAGTGTGGGACAGAGTTTGCACACTGCAAACCACACTGCCAGCTCTCAGCTTCCCCAAACAGCTGGCAGCAGAGCAGACCTTCACCTCACAGTGCCAGGCCACCATAAACAAGCAGCAGTGTGCCCAAGAGCTCTCAGGGCCTTCAGCAAATGAATGCTCACAAAGCACCTACTGTTCTCCAGTTTCAAACAGATTTTGGAGATTTAGCCTAAGTGCAGTTTTCCTTGCAAAATGAGGGTCACAAAAGTTCTGCCTAAAAAAACCCTATAGGTACAAATGTACACACGTGCAGTTTTCTAATACAAAATGTTGCTGTTTACCTTGACTCTTCCTAATTTTGCACAAACAAGCATGTCATTCAAATGTAAAGAAATGAGTGTACAGCTTTGATGTGTGTTCTCCCTGTGCACAGAACACTCTTTCTTCACCTGTGACTGTGCAAACCTCCTGCACATCCCTCCCCACAGGAGGCTGAGCTTTGTCATTCACAGAGTGTCACCCCACAACCACAAGTGACATCAGTCCACGTCCTCACTGGGAACACTCCTCCCATCTTATAGTAAATATATTGGTTACATCACCCACACCTGAGCCAGAGAATTCACCTTATTGTCAAACTGCACAGTTCAAACCACTAACTAACCACTCTTGGAGACAGATAAACAAATGAGTGATTGCACACAGCTCCCTAATGGTGCTGTCAGCGTCAAACAAATCCCTGGACTGATTCTTATTACATTTACACAACTGAAAATTATGATTAGAAATACAAAATATTCCAGTCAACAAGATGATCCCAGCAACCCCTGGCTGGACAGGTGAGTTCACTTGACTGTGGAAACAGAACATTTAACAGGACATGGGCCTTACTTGGACTGGCACAGAATGGGGCACAACCTCTGACACTGAAATTCACTCAGCTGCAAAACCATTAATCCTCCCCTGATCAAATTTTAAGTCACATAGAGAGAAAAAGATTCACCACATTAATCAAATCCCATCAGATTTTATCTCCAGCTTCAAAATGTTCAGGCAATTGCCAGGACAGCCATTTGTATAAAGCTACTAGCCAGATCAGCAGTTAAAAATGGTTTTATTTTCTTAATGAAAAAATAATGTATATTTGCATGAAAGAAAAACTATGAGGATTGCACAAAGGAATTAGTGAATGTATCAACTACATAGATACCTAAAGTAAGTAGAAATAATATTTTAATGCTTTTATCCCTCCTATCCAAAATATGTAGTTGATCTAAAAAAACTATTCCAAAGCCATACTTAGCAAACATTTTATTAAATCTACATAGAAGTACTGCACTGATTTCCAGCTATATTAATACTTATTTTAGCTAAGATACAGCAGAGCTGAAATGAAGTCTTGAAGACTCAGCATAAAACAGTTTGGGTTAAAAGGGACCTTCAAAGGTCATTAGTCCAATCCCAACATGCACAACACAGTAAAATCTGAAATATCTGATTTCGACATGCAATTCTAATGCTTCAAGCTTTAATCTCTGACTGAACACATTCCCAAAAAAATCCATTCCTTTATCTGAAACTGCCTGAACACGAGATTTTAAGTTACACGCGCATGTGTTGGGAACACCGTTAAAGCTTAAGGAGAGAAGGATATTAGAAGCAGGATTAAATTAGCAAGGATATTTAAGGCGGCTGCTTAACGTGCTATTTTCAAACGGGAAAAACAGAAGAGAGGGGTTTAAAAACCATGAGAGAGAGGTTTAAAAACCACGAAAACATTCAGTACGCACTGAATGGAAGCACTGAATGGAAGCACTGACGCGTCGGTGAGCTGCAAGCGGATGATCAGTGCCCGTGCTTAGACACAGCGCTAAAACCCTCACACACACACAGAGGCATTAGGCAGGGGGAAGTAGAAGAAATTAAGTGCCAGAAAGCGGAAAATGAAATCCCGAGCAGTGTCTCTGCGGAGGAACCGCCAGGGACACCTGGCTCGGGGAGCCCCAGCGCCGGCTCCAGCCCACACTGACCGGGCCCTCTGAAGCCGCAGCCCCCCTTAGAGCCCAGGTTCGGCTCTGGGGACTCCCCCGGCCCCACTGCCCCTTCCCGGCGGTGGCGGGACCCGGCGGGACCCCGCACATCCCCAGCGCTCCCGGCTGCCCTTCCTCCCGCTCTCCCTCTCCCGTACCGGCGGGCAGCAGCGCAGGGCCGGGCGGCGCGACCGGCGCTTGGCTGACGGGGATGAAGGGCACGTTAAAGCTGAACTCGGTGGCGGAGGAGGAGAAGAGTAGGTTGGTGCTGCTGCCGCTGCCGGAGCCGGTGCCGGTGCCGGTGCCTCCCCCGGGCTTCGCCGCCGCCATAGCCGCGCCCCGGCCACGTCCCTGCCCCGGCCCCTTCCGCCCTCACCCAAGATGGCGGCTGCGGCCGCGCGCAGCCGTGAGGGGTGGGAGGCGGGCCCGGCCGCCATTCCCGCAGGAAGAGGAGGAGGAGGGCAAAGAGGAGGAGGAGGAGGAGGAGGAAGTGGTGGTGATCCCCGCGCTGGGCTGGCGAGCGGGACTCGGCGGCCGCAGGGTGCTGGCAGCCCCGCGGTGAGGCGCGACCCCGCCATGCCGTGCGTGGGCGACTGGCTGAACAGCCCCCTGAGCATCGTGCAGGGCATCTTCGGTGAGGCGGGGCCCGCGTCCCCGGGCGGCGGCGGGAGCGCCCCGCGGGCGCCCGGAACCGGACGGCGCTTTCCCTCGTGGGGTGATGGCGGGGCCGGTTCTGTGCCTTATGTATCTGTTGTGTCTTATGTATCTGTTTTATGTCTTATATATCTCGAATACAGCGTGCGTTTTGTGTATCTCGTGTGTCTCTGGGTTCCGGCAGCAACGCGTGCTGGCTGCCCGCGCTGCCGAGCACTGCTGATGATACCAGCGCTATCAGCCGCGGCTTAGTCCTTTTTTTTAAAGATCATTTACGTTATTTTAGACACTGAAAATTAAATCTGGGTTTAATCTTCACTGAAAAATACCGACATTAAATTTTGCGGTGCCTCGGCTCCTGCCTGTCCCCACTGCGGTGTTGCTTCCCTCGCTCCCGGCAATGGCTCTGTGCTTCTCGAGTGGTGTGAAATGGGAACTCAGTGAATTGCAAGAGGAATAAATTAGTCCGAGATGCACTCACTTCCCCAAGATAGAAGTGAAAGTTGGGTTTGTTTGATGTGCTGGGAGAATGCTGGGTAAAAGTCTCTGACGTGGTGATAACGGGCACGTTGATATGTTGTTTGTTGTAGCCCAAAATGCTCCAAACTCTGACTGGGAGAAGAAGGTAACCGAATACTTCAAGGAGAAATTAAAAGAAAATAATGCTACTAACTGGGTAAGAGTGTTTTTTTTTTTCTTTTCGAGTTATACCTTTTCTTAAGCTTTGTTGTTTTTTACACTTTATTGCAGTGGCTTGCTTTAGATAAAGTCCTGCAATTTCACGATAAGCGTGCAACTGAATTTCATGCCCATGCTTTGGGATGTGGAATTTGCACCTCGGCTGCCTTAATTTGCCTCGGCTGCCTTGACCTGAGTGTAAAGCCGGGATGTGAAATCCCAGCCCGTCCATCCCCTGCCTTCAGCACCCTCCTTCCCCCAGGCCATCGCTGCCGGCTGCTGCCACTCTGTAGCACGGTCAGTAGATGGCAGGAGATGACAAATATTGTCATTTTTGGGGAAGTGTGAGTCCTCACCGTGCACCACGGGCTGCTGGTCATAAACCCTTTCTCTTATCAGCTTTTATCACAATGCAAAACTTGTGTGGGTTGAATAATTAGTTGCCTGGACCCTCAGGTTTTAAGGAAAGAATGCTTTCCTACTAAAACTGTGCTTTATTGTGCTGGGTCAGGCCTGGTTTGTGCAGTTTAGCAGGGAAGCTGTGCTTTAGGTTTTAAAAATAAAGTGTGCACAGTTGAGTTCAAAAGCTGATACTTTTCTAAAAGGCTGTAGCAGAAATGACATAATGGGACTGATAAGGGGATGAGAAAATTTGAGATCAAATCTGTTCTACCTGTCACTAAAACGAGGTGACAATTATTTTTCTTTCTCTGTCAGTGAAAGTATTCTGTGTTTAGTATTAAATGGTTGCCTAAATCAGAGCATTAATGGCAAAATTTGAGTAAAATTTACAACATCAGAAGGAATTTAATTCATATTTTCTTGTTCAAAAAAATGAGGGGCTACACTTTTGTTAAAATGCCACTTCCTATAGTGCCACTTACAGTTTTTAGTGCATTTTAATGTTGGATGTAGGCTTTTTCAACAAATATTTTATATTCAGATTTAGAAAACCCTATTCATATTGCAAGTTCTTTGAAGTTATACCATGTGTTTAGGCATTGATTTTTTTTTTTCTTTCTATTTTCCCATTGTCATGTAAAACTGTGTGAAAAAGAATTCCCCAGTATGGACTTGGAAATTAACATACAGGTTTTCCAGGACCTTTTGTTATAAGAAATTGTGCATGCAAATTGCTCTAGTACTGCTGGTACATAGCACATGGTGGAAGTGCTGTTAAGTAGAAATAAGATAAGTGATAAATTCTGTTTAATCCTGCAGCTGCAATAATTCTGATTTAAAAGTTGATTTCAAATATTGTACAGTTTTCATACAGTTCCAGTGACCTATAACCAGTATTTGGGACTGGAAGAATTTGGGAACTGTTAAGATTTGTAACAATTATCTGTAACAGCCATTGCAGGAAGGTGTTGGGATAGATACACTTTGTTACTGCTTAAATTGGGATGGGAGATGCTCTCAGAAAATATTAAATGTGCTATAAATATAGGGGTTTGATAATGAGGATATCCTGAATGGTCAGAGAATTAAATTTTTGTGCTGGTTTTGATTCACTTCAAGGCACTGCTTCAATATATACCAGTAGTATAGAACAATCTGTTTTTTCACAGGTCCCATCACTGAATGATGTTCCTGTGCATTACCTGAAACCCAACAGCTTAGTGAAATTTCGCTGCATGGTTCAAGATATGTTTGATCCTGAGTTTTACATGGGAGTCTATGAAACAGTTGACCCAAACACAAATGCACGTGTAAGTGAAATACTGAGTTACTATTTTGTCATTTTACTCATTCTGGTCCTTGGATTTCTCTAGTTTGTGAGTTAAACCCATGGAGTGTGGACACTGATAGTAACTGTGTTCAGCTCAAGTGGCATCAGTAAAACATAACCTGTTACATTTCTGTTGAGGAGTAGAAAATGATGAAATGTTTGGCAGGATGTCTGTGAGGGGCTTTGGGCTTCAGTGATTTTGGTGTGATTCATGTTCAGGATGATGTCAGAAACAGAATGATTGCATTGCCTTTTCCCTCTTGACAGGTTTTGCATTTTGGTAAATACAGAGATGTGGCAGAATGTGGGGTAAGTTCTATAAGTTACATGAACTTAGAGAAGTAGTACTGGGATGGAAAGTTGTCGTTTTATGTGTGACAGAGCTTCTTTGGTACTTGGCAGTGGATTCCTGAAGATACTGCTCTAAATGCAAAGTCAATCTTTGGTTTGGAAAGCAGAGTATTCATAACTGCTCACTGGCATTCTAATTTCTGCAGGCTTCCAGCTGTTTCTGTTGTCTTTAAAATTTGGTTTGGTTGAGTGGAGGGGGGAGTCCCCATGACCTTGAATCTATGGAAAATAGTTACTTTTGGTAGTGCAGTGCAATTTGAATCAACACATTATATATTCACTTTTTCCTGAGTTATGTAGTTTTGCATGCTAATTGTAACTTCTGGCTGAGTGAATCTGTGGGGTTAGCTTAGAAAAAGAAAACAAACTGTAATCAGGTTTTTGACAAAATTTCTCTTGGCATTCCAGCCTCAGCAGGAAATTGATTTGAACTCCCCACAAACAGTCACCTTGGAGAGACAGACTTTCTACTGTGTTCCAGTGCCTGGTGAATCAGCATGGGTGAAGGAAATATCTTTTTTGACTGAGCCAGTGCTTTGTTATACAATCAGTGGTCACCAACTAATTAGTTAGATTTAAGGAAGAAGTTCATTTAAGATTTCTTTTTTTTAAGCGAATCTGGAGAGGCAATAGGTGTAGAAAGAGAAAAAATAAAGGTGATGGTGTGTAATATGCACAAAAAGGAGGATGAGAAGGATGCAAATGAGTTTAGGAGCATTTGTTTTGATTTAGTAGACATTTTTACTTGGGAGAGTCGTTAAAATTTCTGTTAATTTTTAATTGTAAATGCTTAGGAAAAGAGAAATTTCAGTTGAGCCGCTGGCATTTTCTGCAGCAGGACACTTACACAGTGAGAGTCTCCTATAAAACACCAGGATTTTGTTTAAAAAACCAACATTAACCTTAGTGTGGGTGAGTTTTCCCTGCTCAGTGTGAGGCTTCCTTAACCCTTGGCCCAGGCCTACATCAGTGCCAGCCAGGCCCGGGTGAGCCCCTCCACCTCCTACACCCCCAGCCGCCACAAGAGGAGCTACGAGGAGGATGAGGACATGGACCTGCATCCCTCCAAACAGAAGGAGCAGCACATGGGTAAGAGCTGCTCAATGGTTGTTCTGGTGTCTCCCCAGGATTTGGCAAAAATTCATTGCTGAAAACTGAAATATTGGCAATTGGTTTAATTATTATTGTTGTTGCAGCCTTTAGGATTTGGAGGCTTTGTTGAAGTCTGGTTTGATTTGAAGGAGTGTGGGAGAGCCTGTAGTGTTGTATGTGTGTTGTATGACTTGCTGACAATCTACAGAAGTTTTTAATATAAACTGGGTTTTAATAAAAGTTTTAATAAAACTGGGTTTTATGCACATTCTGACATGTTTTTTTTAAAGTGAAGTGCAGAAATATATTACTTTTGCATTTTTATGGACTGCAGGAAAAAAATCATTCCTCTGGTTTAAACTTTGCATTTTGAAAATCAGATTTCTGGCCATGTTTGGGTTTCCAAGACACATAGATGTTTGCCAGAACTCTCTCTCACACTTTAACTTGATTACATATAATATGCACTTGTGAGACTTCTCATATTAAGAGTATGTTCTGTCAAGTATATTGCATTATTAAATATTCTGGTCTCAGATGTCTTGTTAAATGAGTTTTATTCTGAAGAAAGTTGTTCAGTTCTGCATTTCTTTTTAAAAAGTCTGCAAATCCTGTTTTTCAGGCAGTGGAGGTGATATCCATGGATGTGTGGAGCCAAAGAGATTAGAAACAGAAGCTTCTGCAGGTCATCATGTCATTTCTCCCAACTGCTCCCCTCCACTTGACCTAAATTTTCCCTTGCCAGGAGAGAAGGGACCAGCATGTCTTGTAAAGGTGAGAGATGCAGAGCTGATGAGCAGGGCTGTGCTCTCAGAATCAGCCTTGCAGTGGTTTGTAGGCACAGAAATG